ATATATATAAATTCATAATCTAAAGAGCCGACTAAATCGTCACGAGCCTTGATAAACCTTCTTTCAATTGCCTTGATTTCTTGGGTAGGAGCAATCTTTGCCCAAGCCTTATCTTTGGTCTTCTTCCAAGCAGTTCGAGAAACTACTGCCACCTCTCTTTCTGCCTCTTCCACGTCAGAGATAGCTGACAAATCCGTCATCATTCATGCAAAAACTTCAAAGAACAAGTCCTTATTGACGATTATCAATCCTCTCTTCCTCTTGAAGACATCCCCACTCGACACAGTTTGGATTTCTCAATTCTCAGAGAACGAGGCGATGAAGAACACATAAAAATCTAGTCATTCACTTTGTTCTCCAAGCCTAAGAAGTGAAACCAACTAACTGTTTCGAACTACACATATCCATCAGTATCCACCCTAAAGAAGAACATGTGCCTAAACAAGTTGGTCGACCATGACATTCTCTTCACCGACAGAAAACTACATTTCATTATCACCACAATAGAATTTGAATTGATTTGCGCCGGAATTACCCCCTACCAATTGAAAATTGCTCTAAGTTCCTAAGATAGAGGCACTCAGAACCCATATCTCAAATGATCTCTGCAAACAACCAGGTAGTCTCCAAATCAATCTTTGGCCCTCTCATTTAGACAAGCAACTCGAAACCTAATGGTCGAGTCAAAGACAAAAGCCTCCTCCACAAATGCTACATCAGACGGGGTCAAAATCGGCTGCTTGGTCACAACTACAAGGCTAAATGTTTGGCGTGTGTGCTTTGACTCGACCATTTGTGGATTTGGAACATCAAATCAACTTAGAAATTAAGAGAAAAATAAAATATTTTTGTTTCAATTATAAATTCATTACAATCGGACCCTAGTCCCACTTGAGGTACTTAACAAACTGGTTCTCAGCTGCCTCATCAAGGAAAGACCCTTTCTAAATAATCTCCTATATAACATTTGACCGCCGAGCTGGAACAGATTCACTCAATCTGCCTCAGAATGTCTCTCTCCATGAATGCATCTTCCCGGAGTTCAGATACTTCTCGAAAAAGATCAATTGTTTCCAATTGCATCTTCACCAGTCGGATCAACACCACACGACAATCATCCTCTTACCGAGCCAGATAAACCTCTATTTCATCAAGTCGAAGAGTAAAAGCTCTTGGGGACATCATGCATCCCTCAATCACTTCTTCGTGGGTCTCAATAGGATCATCCAGACAATTGACTACGATCTCCTTGCTTCCAGCCAACACTTAAAGCACCTAAGACACCACCACAGTTGGATCTCTATTATCTCCAACAAAGTGCAAACTCCCAATTCAAGCATCCTCGTCCACAAGAAACAAAAATGGATAAAGCAAGAAAAAAAAATCTAAACAAATTCTAAGACAAAAGTAAAAGCATGTATTCAGGATCCTCTCCATCTTAGACCAAGTAGCTACGGCAACATTTAGTCATGAAAGATCATCGGCTACTCTTTTCTCTTTGAACAACTCGTCTGTCACCTCCAGCAACTCCTAGTACATCGGTCGGTTGAGGAGCACTTGCAATCTATGGTTGATCCAGGACCTCAACGGGAGTCTTAGTCAATGAACCAGAAAATAAAATAAAATTTATTAAATTTGCATTATCTAAGATTTGTCCAACTAATGAAGCTCTAAGTCATGTTCCAACTATTCTTAAGTTTCTATAGGAATTGTGTGATGACTATGTGAATGCCCATGTGTCAAATATTCTAATGTGGAGATTGTTAATTATCTTGGATGAAGTAATCATTTTACTTTAAGAGGAAATCCTTATAAGGCCGGAAGACAAATGGTTGAAAATTTTCTTAGTGGTGATGACATTGAGAATCTAAAGTTTGAACTTGACGTCTATTTGGAAGAAAGTTTTTATATTCTTGACCATGATCAGTTTCATGCTTTATAGAAGAAGTAGAAAGCTAACAAGTCAATTTTTCATATAATATCTATAATTACTTGTGAAATACGTTCAATACCTATTACTGTTGCATTATAATCAAATTTCAGTGCTAGATTACGCGCTATAAATACATGTTGCTCATCATTGGGTTCAAGCACCATTCAAGTTCTTATGTGTGGAAAATATCGGTTTAGAAATCATTATGGAATTAAAAAGAAATCAATGGTATTATTTTTTATCATTAATTTTTATGAGTTTATAATATTTTCATCTTTATATTGCATCATAAAAATTTTACTTTAATTACATGATAAAGATGTTAAAGTTATTGATCTTTCTTCAGGAGTATTAAAAGACATGATCGTAGTTTTTTGCAAGCAATGATGGATTTCAATATTATTTTGTGCAAGCATTCAATGTGAATTACTTTCTTTTTATTTATCAACTTGGATGCATATTTTTCGAGGGAAGATAAGTTATTTTTTCAGAATTTTCTCTTTTTTTTTATTGTTGGCAACCCACAAATGATTGACAATACGATGAAAATGATTATCTATTTTTGAAAAGAACTATTACCAATATTTTTTTATTCATTATAAATCATAATCTATGTGTTCAATGTGAATGAATGTTATTAACATTAATAATCACATATTTTGAGAAATTATAATATTTTTTTTTTCTCGTGAAGAAATTAATACATCTTTTTACTTATTGATATTCTTGGTTGAAGTAAGTCATATTGCTTTCAAGAGGTTAAATATGGTGCAAGCATTCAATGTGAACTACGTTATTATTATTTATCAACTTGGATGCATATTTTTCGGGGAAGATAAGTTATTTTTTCAGAATTTTCTCTTTTTTTTTTTATTGTTGGCAACCCACAAATGATTGATAATATGATGAAAATGATTATCTATTTTTGAAAAAAACTATTACCAATATTTTTTTATTCATTATAAATCATAATCTATGTATTCAATGTGAATGAATGTTATTAACATTAATAATCACATATTTTGAGAAATTATAGTATATTTTTTCTCGTGCAGAAATTAATACATCTTTTTACTCATTGATATTCTTAGTTGAAGTAAGTCATATTTCTTTTTAAGAGGATAAATATGATGCAATCACTTTTTAGATTTGTTGTAGGTCTGCTTTATAAAAAAAAAGATTCTTATCAAGGTAAGCATTCATATTCTTTTTTTATTTTTATTTTTTATTTTTTTGTAAATTATTTAAGTTGTAATTGTTTAATAAAAAAAAAGTGAAAAGTGATTTAGAATGAGACATTTGAAGTTAAAGAGTGTGCCATAAAAAAAATTTTCTTAATAGAGTTTTCATAATCTTGAATGTAATGAACACATTTTATATGACCATCACACTACAATTATCAACAATATTAATGTGGACTGCCTTTTTGCTATTCTTTTATTAACAACATGGTTAAGTAAACGATCATCCTGATAACTTTTAAGTTTAGTTTAATTTTTTCACTTAAAAAATTTGAACTAGTGTAGCTCTTTCATTAAGAATGATGTACTTAATCAGTAAGTTTAAAAATTTTATTTATATTTGATAAATTAGTAGTTACGATCATATTGTAAAATTATTCATTAAAATTTTAATATGAGAACCCAAATACTTCTTTGATTTTTTTGTCCGTTTATTAGCTTACTTAAGTACTTGTTTACTTGTCATACACAAATCAAGTTTGAACACTAAAAAGTTTAAACAAAGCAAGCTTCAATAATATATAAAAGCTCGACACAAGCTCAAGACGAACATGAACAACTTATCATCATACTAACTTAAATCCAAACCATCATACTTATTAGCTTACTTAAGTACTTGTTTACTTGTCATAAACAAATCAAGTTCAAACACGAAAAAGTTTAAACAAAGCAAGCTTCAATAATGTATAAAAGCTTGACATAAGCTCAAGACGAACATGAACAACTTATTATCATACTAAGTTAAATTCAAACTATCATATATTCGATCTGACTAGCTTGATGACAGCCCTAGTTAGTGTGCCCAAAAAACGAATAGTATTTGTTTTTTCAGCCAATCAAATTGAGGTTCTTAATACACACAAGCGACAAAGACAAAAGAGTGAGAAAGTGAGAGCACTGGAAAATAACTACCCTAACATCCGTAACACTAGATGGGCCCTAAAATTTTCATTAATCCCCTCATCAACTTAAAATTATCACGGATGAAATTTTTTTCCTAAAAATTTGTATAGTTTGAATCTCATCAATAACTTTTACAAAAAGAATAGCTAGCACCGTTATACTTTCCTCGTTCCAGTGCGACACACCACGCTGCCGGGCCTCCAACCTCGCTGTCCCGTACACTTGAAGCTTTCTCTCTCCCTCTTTACTGTGTTTCACTGTGTTTCGCAGTCATTAAAAGCAGAGGAAGATGATAACAGCATCTCAGCTTTGGCATCTCTTCCTTCCAAGGACAGGCCTTTACGAAATGCTTGGGTAACAACGCAAAAGCCGGTGCTGTAATGAGCGGCAGGGGCGGGAGCTCTTGGCTGACTTTGCTCAAAAGGGCATTCAGATCCCCCTCCAAGAACTCCGAGAAGAAGCCCGAGCTCAACGGCGACAAAACCAAGGTCAATTCATGGCGACATTCTCCGGAACACTCTCCTTCTCTCTTCCTCTTCTCACAATTTTAACTTTTTCTCACATTTTCTGCTCGCAGAGAAGGGAGAACAAACGAAGATGTTTTTTTCGCAAGTCTTCGCAGCACGAGCAGCGGGTGCAGTTAAAGCAGTCGCCGCCGTCGCCGTTGCCGGAGCAGTTGCAAATCATTGCTCCGGCCGTGAGTTTAGCTTGTTCACCCCTGGAGTACTACGCCGCCATTGCAATCCAAACTGCCTTCCGTGGCTACCTCGTGTGAATTCTAATCGTTAGCTTTTGTTGCCCTTTTCTTTTTCATAACTACGTTAAATTAACAACAAATAGTTTATTTTTCATGGTGGAAAAGGCTAGAAGAGCGCTTCGGGCTTTGAAAGGACTGGTAAAGCTCCAAGCTTTAGTGAGAGGGCACAACGTTCGAAAGAAAGCAAATATAACTCTGCAATGCATGCAATCTCTTGTGAGGGTGCAGAGAAGTGTTCTGGACCAACGGATAAGGCCCTCACGATCGCATTACGCTGCATCTGACGATACCAATATATTGGATTCTACGCGTCTGCAAGATATCTTACAGAGAAGATCCTTGGTAAGATGCTAGTCTACTTCTTCAAAAAATAGGAATGTCTTTCTGCATCTGCGATTCTAAAGTAGACGCGTTTATGAAGAAGACGAGAGAACGTGGCATATTAGCCGGCGATTGGGATGACCGCCCACGCACGATTGAGGAGATCCAGACGATATTAAAGAGCAGAAAAGAAGCAGTTTTTAAAAGAGAAAAGATCAATTCTTACGCATTCTCCCATCCGGTACGTTTCATGTGGTAGTATCTAAACCAGGAACTCTGCTTCCCTTGTTAGGTTACTCGTTCTTTAAAAAGCGCTTATTTTGTTAGGTTTGGAGATCGGATTACAATCTCTCCGTTATGAATGAAGAATTGCGAGGAGATCCAGAGTGGCAAATTTGCCTTGACCGTTGGATGGCATCAAGAGCATCGTTTGAAAACAGAAGCAGAAGCAGGGGAAGAGCTTCTACAGACGACCGAAATCCAATCAATACTCTTGAGATCGACACTGCGCCGCCATGCTCCTACGCGACACCCCGGCGGCACCCACTTTACAGTCATCATTTCTTATCTCCCTTTCATCGCTCCCCTGCCACACCCTCCCCGTACAAAACGCCGCCTTTGCAGGAATGGAGTAGCCGCATTGCTGCTCACTCGTCGGCCAAAGCACATGATATGCCGAACTACATGTTAGCGACGGAATCAGCGAAAGCGCGACTGCGTTCGCAGAGTTCGCCGAGGCAGAGGCCGGTAACTCCGGGAAGGGAGAGGGCTGGTTCGGCGAAGAAACAGCTTTTGTTTCCTGCGCCGGATTCGTACGGCGTGTGGAGCCCGAGCATTAAGAGTGGGATGGGGCGGCTTGTTTCGGAACTGGGATCTAACGTGTCATCCTCTTGTGCGGAGAGCATCGGCTGCGAGAACTCGCCGTCGTCGGCAACGAATCTTCGCGGGAGGTTGCGGTGATGGGAGGCGGGGATTCTTGGTGTTTTCATTGTTTGGCGTTACTGCTGTCTGGCCGTAGTGGTTTGTTAGATTGCTCTGTTTGAATTCCAGTCACGCAAAAGCCTGTCGATCCTTTTATGACGTTTTGCTTGGTTTCGTGGGTCTATTTAACCGTTCTCAACGACTATCATGCTCTCACAAATACGAGAATATTTTATATTCTGAAAATCGGGCTTTAGTCAATTTACTGTGTGTTTGGCAGTGTGATATAATAATAACCTCTCTTGGAAACTGTGATGTAATTTACTTTGTCCTTCGTATAATAATATGTTGTGATTCATCTGATTAGTATTAGTATGTGTTTGATGCTTAATTAGTTCTTTGTGCATCGCGTTTTGAAAGTTATAGCTGAGCGGAGAAGAGAGAGGAGAATAAGTATAAGATCTGAAAGTTATAGCTGAGCGGAGAAGAGAGAGGAGAAGAGAGAGGAGAATAAGTATAAGATCTTTGTAAAGATAATCGAGAGAAAATGGTCCTTTTATTCACATTTTTGCCCCATATTTATGAATGTGTGTTTTGTACAATTACGGAAAGAAGAAAACAGTTATGAAAATCATTCTTAATGTCATTAATGCTCTAATTGATTCTATAGATTTTATGTCATATTTGATTGAATTTCAATATCAGAGGTAATTGGCAGGCCGACTAGTTTAAAATCAACCAATTGAGGCAACCGATCGAGTGGTATTTGCGCCCTCTGGAGTACGCGTTGGTCAGTTGCGATGTTTGGTTGTATGACGATCTTGTTCGGTGTCTTTTGGCACAGTCGACCGGAGTAGTCGGTTGTGAGGTGGTCGTTCGGTCCGGACACGGGGTTGGTAGGTACAATGTGATTGACCGGCTTTTTTCGTAGTGAGGTGTGATTTATTTTCTGTTTGGCTAGAGTTTTACATGGCTCGTGCCTCTCCTGTCTGGTTTGTTCGTTGTCTCAGTCAGTTCTACCAATCTTGCAAGGGCTTAAGCAGATCTTTTTGCAACCCACGCGAGGTAACCGATAATACTGTTGACCTCACTTTTGGTTGAGGTCTAGAAATTTCTTTAGTAGTCTAGGTCTAGCCATAAGACTTTCCTACTGACTAGTCTTAGAAAACTAGAAAAGGTACCCTCACCACTAAACTTGGAGTTCCACATATTGGTCCTAACCTCTAGCACTTAGTAGGTAAGATCATTATGAGGAAACTCAAGGAGAGTTCCTATAGGGCTACTTTACCTTAGGATTGACCCTGGGTGTTGGTTTGGAGCTAAGGTATACAATATCTTCACCATACCCTCATTATACCCTCACAATACCCTGGCTAAGACCAATACATGGGGACCCAAAATGGAGATTTCATTGGCCCATGACTCATTCAAAATGGTTCTCTACCCAATTGCACTTGAAATGCCCAACTTGGTCTTTTGCCCCTGGGCACCTCCAAATTAGCTAACTGCCCTTGAGACCCAAATTCGGCCAAAATTCCCAAATTTTGCCA